GGTGGTGACAATTGGCCCAGTGGTTAGAATCTTTTTCTTCTTGATGTTGAGCTTCAAGCTATACTGAAGAGTACAGTCCTTGACCTTTTGCAGCAAGTACTTAAGGTCCTCCTCAGTTTCAGCAAGCAAATTTGTCTTATCTGCATAAAACAATTTGTTGATGAGTCTTCCTCCAATCCTGAAGTCACATTCCTCCTCATAAAGTCTAGCCTCTCAAATAATCTGTTCTACATATAGATTGAAAAGGTATGAAGACGGACCCAGCCATGACACACTCTCTTCCTGATTTTGAACCAAGCAGCTCTTCCCTTTTCTGTTCTGTGGAATGCCTCCTGGTCCAAGTATAGGTTTCACATAAGCACAATCAAGTGTTCTGGGATTCCCATTCTCCTCAAGGTTAACCACAATTTGTCATAGTCCACACAGTCAATTGCCTTTGCATAGTCAATGAAACACAGATAAATAGAATTGCTTTTTGCCAAGCAAACGAAAATTATTAACAATCTCAATATTTTCTCCATCTGTCATGATGCTTCCAATTGTCCCAGTATTGAGAAATTTTGTTTTCATGATGTTGAGCTTCAATCCATATTGAAAGTTGCAGTTGTTGACCATCTGCAGCAAGCACTTCAAGTCCTCTCAGTTTCAGCTAAGTATGTCATTTGTGTAACTCAGGTTGTTAATTAATCTTCCTTCAGTACTGATGCCACAGTCATCCTCATAATGTCCTGTCTCCCTGATGAACTGTACCACATATGGATTGAGAAGTTACAGATGCTTCCTTGCACTTTATTTGTTCTTTTATAGAATTTACATTTTATGCCACTATTTATATGATTTGATATAAGATTATACATTTACTAGTGATTTTCTATAACTCTTAAATAATTTGTCTGAAGAATTTTTGGTTATTAAATTTATTCTAAAGTAAATATGATGAAGAAGAATAAAAAGAACAGCAGTAATTAAGCTCTTCTGTGAGGTATAAATTAATGAAACTATCCAAATCTATAAAATATTGCCTGTCTAAAGGCTCTGATTATTTCCAAATAGATTTACTAACCAAGTAACATCAAATTAAGTTTGCTCATATGTGAATGATGTGAGTCACATACCAATGTATTATTACTTCTATGATTTAGATTAAGGTCTCTTGAGGGTTATGGATTCCAAATGTTTGAGATCTCCTAGGAAACAAAAAAAATCTCATCAAAATTGTAGGCCAGCTATATCCCACTTTAATGAGACTCTTATAAATCCATAATATACTGCTACCTCATGACCATTTGAATCTAACCATGAAGGAAGAGAGAAAACTATTATTTTGTATTGTTGGCATTATTGATTATTTTGTAGTATTGGCATTCAGGCAGCAAAGCCATAACCATATGTTTTTTCTGATCTAGATAATTTTTTTTCTAGAAGGGTTGCTTGAAGATATGAAAAAAAGATAATTTTTAACCCAATTTCTGCTTCTGTGTGTTACGGAATTGACGAAGATCTTCAGACTGGTACAAGGTTAGTTAATTTTCCTTCCTCCTTTTTTCAGTACTTTATGATGTGTGACTGATTCTTCCTGTTAGCCCACACAAGTATAAATGTATAAAAAT